TTCTTTCGTTAGTTTGTTGTCCGCCATGGCCTGTGACCGTCGTTCGTCGCTAATACTTAAGAAGATTTAATTTCAGTGAAGAAAATGCGCGAGCTTACGCATGAATCAAACACTGACAATAACAGTCGCCGGATGACAGCATAGTAAAGCCATTCGACAAGTAATAAATGTACAGTTTTGTTTTTTGCTCACGACAAAAGGGGTAAACCTGGTTGGCAAATGCTGAGTGAAACGTTTAACAAGACAGGAAGAAAAGAAGCTCAATCAGATAGGAGCCAGTACTATTATCGTAAGCAACTATCGTGCTATTAAAATTGCTCGTATTTTTACAATAATAGTTAAACCAATTTCAGACCGATAATTATTTCCCAGCCGGAGAACAGCTTTGAAGATGAGCAAATGGAGGGAAAATACGATATATAGCTGAGTTTACTCAACCCGTATTTAGTTCACTGGCTACTATAATGCATCTTACCATAGAAAATAATGATTTGTAAAAATGACGATACAAGTGAGTATACTGATTCGGGAGCGAGCTAGAAAATTCTGGGGCGCTATGATAGGAGAAATGTCTGTTTAGCCAAATGGGCCACCCATTCACATGGGACCAGCAATAGTGAAAAGGCTTTCCTTATGAAAGAAAAAGATCACATAGATCAGCATGTAGTTAAGAGGCCAGCTCATAGCATAGATTAGAGTTCTACTCGGAATAGTTGATACACGCCTCTTTAGCCGCTGACGAAGACTAGCCGGTCTAAAGCTAAGCAATCTTCATATTCTCGTCCAATTTCTATTTTTTTTCTGTCGAATTCATGTGACTTGTAAGACTTTTGAGCTAAAAAAGTTATCTCGGAGTCTAAGACCGAAAACTAAATACGGTGCGGCAATTATTGTGTAGATTTCACAGAGGATGCCCTTGAAGGTGGCGCTGAAGTCCCTATAGAGAAGCACCGAAATCCATTAGAAGATGATAGCTTTCGAAAATCGTCAATAAAACTCTACTTAGGATTCAAACGAATGAATTAAGCGTATATTAAATTTAGAGAAATCATGCCATAAGCGATAATGGAAGACGAGGTTTAACATTTACACACTCCACCCCTCCAAAAGCAATGGCAGGGTACGTGAGCAGGTACTGATCATAGTAGTTCTACACTGTTTGGCTAAAAAATAATACAACCTTGGCTTCATGCTCGATCATTGAAATCAATTCTGTAAAGAGCTAGACCGGCATCAGGACAGAACACTAATAGCAACAACAACCATCATTGTTAAATATACACAGTTTATTATCTGAAAAAGAGTACGTTTAAAAAAGCTAGCCGTTTGTCAACGTGAGACACGATCGGATAGCGATTCATTGCTGCAGCAAGTAAAAATTGAAAAGCTTAAAAATGTAAATATTCATGATTGATTTATTAATTATAGTTGCTTATAGATTAATAAATATCGTTTCTAAGGAAACGGTCCCTGCTTGATCTGCAAAAGGCTATGGCGCGTTCGTTTATAGAATACCCAGCATTGAGCAGACGACGCGTTTTAAGCGTTTCAACGTCATCAAATGATCTGAGTCAATTTCTGTGTCGTTTGACGGCTAACAGCTTTCCGTGATTCTGCTTGGTGACTAATTACTTCCTACGGATAGCTAAAAGGATTTTCCTAATTTGGTTTAATCGTTACGATGACTCTGAGACAAGTCAAAGGACGTCCTTTATTTAGTCTCCATTTAGTTTATGTAAATCCATATGTTTGTCCCGGTCAATTGGGATAGACGATATTTACGTTGTTCTGTTACAGGACACTTGTATTGAGTGGTATATTTTGTCAATGCACGAATAGCTCTGTTGTATATGGTCGTTCTAGTCTTTTCCCGTTAATTTTGCTCAATAAAAAAACAATTATATGTGTCCACACGTTGCGCTTCTGAGAATCAAACGGCTCTTGCCTAATGTTTAGCAGAATTTCAATTCTTTCTACGTGAAGCATATGTCGATGATGTCTGTTATTAACTTCTTTGTTTATGACATGGTGGCTGCTAATATCATGAAAACGTATTTAAGTCGTGTAAAGGGCTTTCGTCATTTGATAGACGTGATCGAAATACTGTAATAAGCACAGGCGTAGATTGATGCAATTGGAAGTATAGTACGTATACTAGACGACCTGTTTTTGGAAAAGTTGCATTAGGGAAGCCGCTACTGCCGGCAGATGTCGACGGATAAAGGAAATTATGTCGAGCGATCTCGTATGGCCCCCGAGATCGGCTAATCGTTCTTAGGCATGCAGCCATTTGTTGCAGCAGCGATAGAATTAACAAACACTTCAGGCTCCTACCCCCTTACGTCCCGCGTGCGATTTCCTTTACCACTAGGAACCTGCCATCCTATGCAAACCCAATCGTTGAAAGGTTTTAGCACTCACCCCCCTTTCTCTATCAGCTTCAATTTCGTTCTTCTAGTTGTTCTTATCAGGGGACCATCTTTCCGGACCGATCAGACGATTAAACACGTCTGATCGGCTGCCTGTGTAAAGCCATGCTCATTGCCGTAACTGTCCCCGTTGCTGCTTGCGACTAGTGATGATCGAGGAGGATTACATTGATTTTCTGTGATGATAGCAATGACGAAAGAAAAAGCACTGAATGACTGAGCCAGTCAGCAGACATACGGTGATCAAACATTTAAAATCTAAACGAGCGTCGGCCAGCCAGGCCGATATTAGGCAGGTAGCAAGTCAGATATAGTCTACGAAAAGGGCCGACAGAGCGATACACATCGTCTACCTACAAAGACATATAGAATATTAGTTGGCCATAAGTGCGGATCGATTCTAGACAGGAATGCCCGATGAACAAATCAAAAGCGGCAAAGAACGTACCGCAAAACACTGAAGAGGAGCGTTCAGAAGATCAGAACCGAAAAGTGTCTACGTTGACGAAGAAAACAATAGAAAACAGAAACGGGTGTGTGCTCTGTTGAAGTCGTTGAATTTTGGGACACACAGAAATTATGCCGATCCTTAAGGAAGTAGCATTGCGGGCTGTTGGTAAACAGGACAAAGAAAACAGTCGTCGGTCTGTCATTTCGTTGTTGACTAATGCAGAGAAGTCGTTGAATAGCATTATATTGCACACGATGCTCAGCAAAAGCGATGTCCGTCTGAACGAGGTCATTGAATAGGTCAAGGAGGACATTCTTTGTACAGTGGATGGGTTACATAATGTGCGACGTAGGTGTACACTATAATGTACCATAATATTACCACGAACATGCAAATTCTGGTAACAGCTGGCTTAAAGGTGGCTTTGTATAAGCCACGATGTTCGGATTCGGATACCTGCGCGAAGCCTTGTTGCGAAGACCTTTTTCGCAACTACATATCTCTATAGCATTAAGGAAATGCGACAAAGCCTAGGTATCGCATATGGAAAGAATGCTAATCTAATAGGCTGAGTATGCGTAGCCGAGGGCGGTACTCCTAATAGTCGAGTTTAAATTGGCTCCAGAGACGGAAGCTACAACATGGCGCTCCAAGCACTCAAAGGTCGGCCGAGGATAGCTAGGAAGGCTGGACAAGGCACATTATAAACTCCTGCTCCAGAATCATGTAACTGTAGACCCATTCATTTCAATATACCGTGTAACATTGTTTATTTACAAACGATCTATATACACGTCGTTCTGTTACTTATATAACATGCTTTTAGCCTCATCCATCCTGCGCTCTCTGGAAACATATGTACATTAGAGTGGTACATAAGCTGTTTTGTACATACAACTAACTGAAACGCTAGAGCTGAAGCCCGTTCAACCTGCCACCGCTGCGGCGAAAAGGCCAACTAGCGATTTGTCAGCTCTATCGGCTTCTTTTCCATCATATTTTCTAGCAATAAATGCACCCCAGCACGTTACACGTTAACGTGAAGTTGTTTCGCACCACGTACTACATGCATGCGTCGGCGGCTATCACTGCTGCGTGCGCTTTACTTTCATTACGTTGCTGGGCTGTTCAGTGCGTGCATAATACATCTGTATACGAATGTCCTTTGTTATCGGCAGCAGCTCGCCTATGGGGCAGACTTCGCTCTGACGGTTCCGTCGCGATTCTGCGGTCCTGCTTGCATTGTCCTTTACATTATTCGTTATTTTCTCTATAGTTCGGCGCGGCGGAAGTGAAGAGATGCGGGGGCAGGTTGAACGATGAGTACTAATGATTTAAGAGTTATGTCGACAAATATTGTTCGGTTTGCCGGTGAATCTTAGTCTTGTCCCAATGGTGGCAGTGACATCCCTCGATTGCCTAGAGAAACCGATACTATATAAATCTTCGTATATCTTTGTACACATACCCTAGCAGAAAGAAAGGTATGAAGATAAAAAAAAAGGAAGAAAAGCAATAAAAAAAAAAAAATTTAAAAATATATCCACGATAAAAGAAAAATTAACCCTAAGTGGAAGCGACTGGGGTCTCTAGAAATCATCACAGGGGAGCCACTGTATCGTGCCAGAGGACCACGGAGCTCTAAACAAGATAACCTTTACGTGCAGAAGTGCATCCCCGTTCAGACATATATGTGAAGGGAATTTTAATGGTGCGATGGTTGATTCAGAAACGAACAGAAATAGATCCGAAAGAGGACTAGTAGGCGGCAGAGTATAAACATAGAATTGGTAGGAACCATCATCGGTATCCTATTGAAAACTGTGTAGCCACATAGAATAGCATAGTGATAATTCAATTGTTTGCAGCGATCTTTGATTAACAGGGATATCGCCTAGTTCATCGTCTGATGGATGACTGCTTTACAAATCACTCAACTGTGGTAAATGAAACAATATATATATATTGACTGACAATAAATGAGGTAGAACTATATTGACTTTTTTTCATATAAAATTATATACCAAATTTTATGGACATTATACATAGATGATTCCTAAATTACCTAGAACTAGGCTTTTCTGTATTAAACCTATCTTTGTCTCGTTCTTTTCTTGCAGCGTTCGTTCGGTTCTCGATGAAGCGTTTGCAGATTAATCTGCCGTACACAGTCGTACTATTCGTTTGTGGAGCCTTTGTTGGCTTAGCTTCGCACGCTTACCCTGAAGTATTCCAGCTTTACACAAAGCCCGCATCCATTGATCCGAAGATTCTGCTTCACGTTTTCCTACCGATCCTTATCTTCGAAAGTGCATTTGCCATGGACGCCCACGTTTTCATTAAGTGTTTCTCTCAGTGCCTAATTATGGCCGTGCCAGGATTAAGTAAGTTGGAGTTTGATGTACCTATCCTGTACGAGTGTATTCGGATATAAGTGTCATGTTAATTTGTTAGCTAGAACATAGTATGTACGTCAATTGAAACGTATCTCCACACAATACCGACGATTAATATAATTATCTGTAATAGCTAACCTTGGCCAAAACCCCCGAGAAGCCAGGCCTGTTGTCGTATCCAGCTACTCATACAGTGTTGATTGTTGCGTCGGCCAGATAAGTAAGCTTCGGAATCACGAGCATTAACTTACCATGGACTTTCATTGCTAGCTAAAGCTCAATGACTTTTTCAAGGCATGCAAATGTCCAAGGTCTGCGATATGCATGTATAGTTAAGATAGCTTTCCGCTGTACACCATCGAGTGTGGAGCGTATATATTTCAGGTCTTACAACAAAAACAATATGGCATACCTAAAAATGTACACAGAATCAGCCTTCGTTGTATCATCTACGCAAGCAAATTTTTATATATGCCTAGTAGAAAATATTTCTACGTGACCATAACATTTCTGATATATATATATATATATATATATATGAAATAAGTACGCCCTAGTCATTTGTACGTGCATTACAGGTGAGCTTTATCTCTCAACAGACGGTAAGCCAGTAGAGCGAAGACAGAATTGGGGATCGCCTATTGAAGCAAAAAAAAAAAAAGGCAGATTACTCTGCTTGAATTGGAAAAATGGCAACAGGTTTTATCGTTTCGATATTGGCAACTGTTCCTCTTCACGCACAGCCGCAACAGAATTATACTGCACTTCCATCAATAATAACCAGCGAAAAAGATACGCGTTTAAAGTTAACAGTGGGCCATAGATTGTTTCCCAGCAGATTCATGTCGGTCGACCAGACCCAGAACTTTACGCACATGACCCTCGTACAAAACAGACATTGCGTATCAAGGCATCAGGTTCTGCTGCCTACGGATAACAGCGTTGTATATAGCCCACAAAGTACTTTCAGGATATGTTCGCTTTTCATCTGGTTCTCGCATACGTTGTTTGAAAAGTAGCGTCTTAGCCTCAATCGTTCCTTGTGCCAGTAAAGCTATGTCTATTTTTGAATATGTCGTATGATATGACTTCCTCCGACCTCTTGTGCCTTGTTACTCCGCCTTGTTTTGCAGCACGTTCAGAATATTCTTTTCTACCCCTTTGTTTTTTTTGTCGTAGTCGTAACTCGTGTTTGTTTCGCTGCGCCAGCGACGCTCGCCACCGTATCACTTGGTTTCCCCTTGTAGGCACGTTCTTCACAGCGAAGATGATTAAATGAAGAAAATATGAAAAAGTAGCTTTTTTTTTTTTTTTTTTTTTTTTTTTTCCGCCTAACGGTCTCCCGACAATTCGTTCGCCCTTCAATCATCGCTACTGTAATCGCCGTGTTACCGCGAACCAAATGGCTTAAGCAGTGAGACGTACAGATACCACCCGCAGCTGTGTTCCCAGTGGGTGGCGGACTATCGTGGCTATACAGGGACATCTTCATCCTCGCCAACGTGATCTGCACGCAATATGGCGTCAGTGGTGCCATGATATGTCATCAAAACACAACAGGCTCGATGCGGCCACTGGAGATGGGTAGAAAAAGAACAAAAGATACCCGAGAAATCAAAAAGCATTATGATACAGCAATTGTCGCAGTTGCCCTCCGACCATGATGTCCCTGCTCCCCCGTTCTGCTGTCGCGTTTTTCCGTAAAAAATCATACAATACAGAAAAAAAATACGAATGTTTTCAACAGCATCAATAACAGCGATACCGCCAATATGAAAATTGTCATTGCGTGTCAAATATACCTACTCTTCTTTTTTGTCTTGCTATTACATCCATCGCTATTATCGTTGGTCTTACTCTATAAGCTGAGCAATCAGGGGCCGATCAGGGGTGTGTGTAACTGAGGGATTGGCCGGAAGGCCGTTATCGTTGTCGGATGAAAGCGAGCTCCCCAACAGTTTCACGGCCACTATGGGGCCCTTGCTGCCTCAGTGGCGACGACGTTAAAACTAAACAAAGAATTCAATAACGTTAAGAAGACAAGCGAAGAAAGGAATTATTTATGGGAAGAAGTAGTCTACTGGAGTAAGCTGCATAGCATAACAGTACTTCTACCGATTGATGATACTGTCAGGCCAACGCCGGTGAAAGTCACGATAGCTATATAGCTTGAAGCACAGCAGCAGCTCTCGATTTATACATCCGCCAGAAACACGGAATAGAGACAAGTTTCTGGAACAACTTAAACCGAAGCTATTGCAAGTATCGATGTGCATTTTAGAGACGACTTAGTGGGGTTCGGTGATATTTAAGCCAGTTTGAAGAGGACAACGTAAAATTGAATGTTTGTGGCCGAGGAAGTAAGTTAGGGTACGTGCACGATAGCGAAAGCTATATATATATAATTCGTGAAGGTTTCCTATTTTTTGCTCGTAATGGCAACGAATAATGAGTCCTTGACGCTGAGGATCAAAACTACCGTTCAGTTTGTATTCCCTTACAAAAAAAACACTCTCTCCATTCATGTATCTAACGCTCGATGGCAATTTTTTTCCTGTTAGCATTTAATTCTATACACGCTTGTATGTCAATGGAAATGATCCTTTTTTCATATCTGACACATACCGTAAAGATGCGATGCATTTTAGGGGATTTATTAGAAATTGCGCACGGGAAAACGAGTCCGAGTTATAAAAAATAAAAATGCGGACATTATAACATGTTTAAGTCTTTCTTTACCTCTGTCTCAGTATTAAGGCTTATAGCTTAAACAGTAACCCTGTATCCAGAAAACTAGCCAGAATAGCCAGTCAAATCCTTTGAGTAGCCGCCCACCAGGTCAAGGAGAATCACTAAACCCCAAGAAACCTGGTGATCAACCGCCGCCTATGATCAATGGCTAGCAGGTCCGGGTGCGCCAGCCTGTTACGCAACGCACAAATGATATTATCCGTATGGTAAAGTGATAACCTTGACGCTGCGCATTCAGTCCTTAGTTCGGACTCCCAACTCCCTGAGCTCATCAGCTCTGCGGACTGAAACTAATGACATCTCCAGTATTCAAAAACAAGCACCCAAAAATCGTTACTTTTTGGTAAATCAATATTGTATTACACAGCCAATATGCCATTGTCAGTTAGTGGAAATATCTGTGTAAGGAAGCTAAATAAATGAACGTTTGTGAACTGGGTTTTTGCTGTGATGAATTAAACGGGCAGAATAAGGGATCGAAGTAGCTCTGGGTTGTAGTGGTAGCAACTAAACTAAATTTCTAACTGTAGGAATCGTAGAAGTTATCACAATTAGCCAATCTGACAGCCATATTTCCAGTCGAAAACTTTGATATAATTGAAGTTGCCTCAGTTGAGACCTTCCAATCTGTTAAATTGGTTCTTGTAATTTTCGATGTTGATACTTTTGTTAATACTGTCGTTTACTCGTCAAAACAAACATTTCGACATAAAAACAGTTGTCAATTATTTGCGCTCGTTAATGGTCCAAGCTTTAGCATAGGCCCATATGTATTAGACCGATAAATTCACCAGCTGATCTTACCTAGATTTAAAAGCCAACTGCAAACTTTTATATAATCGTTTTTCCAAACGAGAAAATAGTACCTTGTAGAACGCAAACGCAATTTAATCTGGTATCATAGATTATCTTTACATCTTCAATAAATAGGAAACGCTTCCCAGCGTTTACTGACAGACTAACAAATGCCCTGAAAATATATTACGGCCTTTATGAAGACTGAAACGGCACAGTGATCGTAAAGAGCAGACGACTCTTTACGCCACCACATATCAGTAACTTTTACGGCTTTAAAAGTAACCTTCGATGGAGCATCGTGTAAAATATTTAGCATGCAAACTTATAATCGAACAATTATCAAGTCGAGTGATCCTCACCGATTCTGGAACTAACAACGACGAAACGTTCCGGGAAACTATTTAGGTATAGTGAAGCTGTTCCCTGTAGTTTACCTGACAAGTCGACCATTTTACTCTCCCAAGCATCACGAAAAAAACACAATTTTCAAAGAACAACACATTCAAATTTAGGCACAAATTATAATACCGGCACTTTCTTTTGTAAGAAATGTTCAACAAAGGCACCACCCCTTAACAACAATGGAGTTGCAGTAAAAATTATACCTGAGAACAAAATCAACCGCAATGCAAACTGCGGTACAGGGCAGACATTTAGCAGAAGCGCGGGCAAGCTGGCGGAAAAGGCTAGGGAAAGGGGCGAAGGAGAAGCCGCGCTACCGGGACTGTCAGGATCTCAGAGATAAAATAGCTTTTTTTTTGTTGCTTAGGGCTTCGTCGTTTGTCGAATTAAAACTCGCTGAGTCTTCCCAGGATAACGGCTGTTTCAATTAGACAAGAAACGACATTAAAGCATGTTGCCCTACCGCGCCGTGCCAAATGGCCAGTAAAAACAATGCTAAAAGTAGATATGCCACAGACCCCATAATATCATCACTCTTATTGTACTTTGGATATATCCCATCCATTTCGATGGCATGGACGCTAAGATCATACAACTTCGAAGTTTCCTGCGTGTACTATTTCATGTATGATTGCACTGTCATGACATGTCTCTAGTCTACGGATCTATTCTATTTGACGGTGTCTGCTTTTATTGCTCTTATCTTTATCGGCACCATTGCCGTTTTACCTGACCCTTATTATAACAATTATTATAATCACGTATGATTATAGACGTGGTTGATCCGTTAGTTGGACAGAACTGGGTGTGCCGGCACTCTCGAGCACACCGAAATCATTGTCACAGCATTATAATGTTGTTCTTTAAAGATAGTAAAAATGATTATCCTAATTACGTTTACAACAGTTACGCTGATGATGGTGAGAACGGTTATTTCAGCGGCTTCCACGGCTGAGCTGAATCCAAGGATAACTCACGTTGGTAAAGACAAGGATAGTATTGTCGTAGGAGCGTTTTTTTTTGTTCTCGCGCCAGAT